TTTTCCCCAGGAAGGCCATTTTCCCAGCTTGGTTCGTTGGATCCCCCTTCCCGTGCCTGGGCCCTGCCCTTAGCAAGGCCGTCCATCAGCACTCGTGGCCTCCCCTGGCCTTCACTTTCAGCACTCCCAGGAGGAGGGCTGAGATCCGCCACTTCCCCCTCTTACCCATCCAGTGACTGCCACACTTTGCCCTCCTGGCAAGAGCCCGGTCTGGCATGGCCGTGGGGCCTGTGGGTGGTGGAGGAGGCACAGGCTAGGAAGAGGGCACAGAGAATGGAGGCAGAGGACTCGAGCCTGGTCAACAGCAGTGGGGAGAGGGCTCTGGGCCCGAGCCAGAGGTGCTCGCTGCTTGATAACTATGTGACTTGTTGCAAATCGCGTCAACTCTAGTACTTCTTTTTTTTTTTCTTTAAGAGTTATTTATTTATTTGAAAGTCAGAGTTACACACAGAGAGAAGGAGAGGCAGAGAGAGAGAGAGAGAGAGAGAGATAGGTCTTCCATCTGCTGGTTTACTCTTCAGATGGCTGCAACTGCTGGAGCCAGGAGCCAGGAGCTTCTTCTGGGTCTCCCACATGGGTGCAGGGGCCCAAGGACTTAGGCCATCTTCTACTGCTTTCCCAGGCCATGGCAGAGAGCTGGATCAGAAGTGGAGCAGCCGGGACTTGAACCGGTGGCCATATGGGATGCCGGCACTGCAGGAGACAGCTTTACCTGCTACACTACAGTGCCAGCCTCAACTATGGTACTTCTGTCAGCACAGAAGTGGTGACCACATACCCTTGATGGGCTGAAGGGTGGTAAAATTGGACGGGGGTTGCCTGGTCTGGACTACAGCCTGGGGCGTGTGTGGTGTGGTATATTGGTATTTGCATTAAAATGGTAGAAGGAAAGAAAATCAGGAAGAAGACTCTTCCTAGCCCCTCGAGCCGACTGCTGGATGGTGGTGCTGTGGGGATCAGGAGCAGGAGTGGTGCTTGGCGCAGGGCCAGACTGCCTGTGCAGGGGAGGCAGACTTGCAGGCCACTGGACCTGACATCTCCCTGCGGGGCGGCACGTCGAAGTGGTGGTCGCCCGGGATGGTGCATGTGTCTGTGTCGGGGTGTGCAGGGTGGGACAGCAGTTCCTGTTCCTGCAGAGGTAGCACTGAGGCCCCCCGGAGGCTCCGGGGGGTTGGAGCCAGATGACCACGGTGCCTTTTCTTGAAGGGAAATAAAGGTGGTCAGCAGGCTGTGTGTGTGGATGTGTGTGTGTGGGGGGATGCTGGGGGAGACAGAATGGATATGCATTTGTGTGCCTGCATCCTGTTCTGTATTTTTATGCTCATGTGTGTGGTCTTCTGTTCTCATATACACGTGTGTATGGATGCACATGTGTGTGTGAGAAACGTGCCTGCGTCTGTGGTGGGATTTCAGGAGTATGTTTGTAGGACTGTGTGTGTGTGTGTGTGTGCAGCTGTGAGCACACCTGTGCACCTGTGTGTATTTGTGCCTGTGTGTATGGGTGTGAATGTGAATGCGTGGGGAGGGGATTGTGTGTGTATGTGCGTGTGTTTTTCACTGTAACATACATGTGCATTAGCATGAGCAGGTGTATTCACATGGTGGTGTACGTGTGTCAGTGTGTGTGACCTTTTATAGGTGTGTGTTACAGACTGCACAGAATTGTGTATTTGTGTGGGTATGCACATGGGCCCTTGTGTGTGTGTATAAACCTGTGTAGGGAAAGTGTATCTATGTATCCAGGGACATCTGTATGTATGTGGTAGTGTGGAGAGGCGTAGAGCTGTGTGTGTATGTGAGTGTGTGCATTTGGGCAAGTGTATATGCATGTGTGCTGTGTTTGCAAGCATGAGAATGTGCACACTTGCTGTGTGTATATGTGTGGATACATGTGAGAGGGAATGTATGCATGCGAGGCCATGTGATTCTGTGCCTAAGTAGGGGCATGTAAGCTTGACTAAAAGCATGAGCACGTGTACTTGTGCATGTCTGTATTCCTGGGTCTGAGTGTGTGTGGGCGTGCACGTTCATGTGTATACAGACAAGTGCCCATGTGTATGCACATGTGAGAACGGATGAGTGTATCTGCACGTGTGGGATTGTGTGTGTGTGCTTGTGTGTGGGTATGTGTGAGTGTGGGTGTGTATGTGCAGGAGGTGGGTCTGTGCTGGGAGCTGGGGGCTCGTCTTGGCTGCTGACTGACGGTTCTAGGAATGAAGCCCCTCTGCCACCCTCCTGCTCGCCCTCCCCAGGGCCTCACTTCCTCCCTGAGCTCCGGCCAGCACCCCCTCTCCCACCCCACCCTGCTGCTTCCTGTCTCCCTCCTTCCTCCTGACATTTGACCCTCTTGGCTAATGTGTGAGGAGGGTGGGATTGAGAAAGCAAACACAGGAGGGTAGGCTGGGCTGAGGTCGCTGTGGCAGGGCCAGAAGGCAGGCGGGATCTGAGAGCTGTGTGTGTGTGTGCACATGTGCATGTACATGTGTGTGTGTGCACGTGCGTGTATGCATACGTGAGGGACACAAACCCGTGGAGCCCCTGCAGCACTCGGCTCCATGCCCGGGGGGGTGGGTAGGCAGCCCAGGTTCTCAGGGCCTGTGCGTTGCAGACTCACGAGCCAGATGGTGCGGTTGGGGTGGCCTGAAGGCCAGGGGCAAGGAGGGTTCTGGGGACCTGGAGAACGACTGTGGAGCAGCACACGCGTGCTGTCGGGGGAGGTGTGTGGTATGTTTTTGTGTATTTCATGACGTATTTCCCCTTTGGATTTTCGACAGCTTGTTAAAAAATCCAATCATAAAGCTTCGGATATTCTGATATAAGGAACCAAATGGTTTCCTTTAAAGCAGGAAATATTTATAGACAAGTTGCGAATGCAGCACCAAAGAAGGCCCACATTTCAATGGGACGTTCAGATTGTGGGTGAGCCATGGGCCAAGAGGTCCTTTTCGCTGGTTACTTTTCTGAGCTTGGATTCTCCCATGAGGTCCCATGGTAGGGAGTGCTCCGGAGCCTGGCCAGGGCCCACCTGGCAGGCCCTCTGCTATGTGTTGCTGTTGGCTGCCGTGCTTGTCCAGGCACTGCCGGGCAGGTGTCGGGCCCTGCGCTGCCCCTCTAACCTGAGCAGCTGGCCACCTCTTCCACATGCCTTTGTGCCCGCAGCCACAACAGCCCCTGGTCGCCTTGTGCTGTGATGTGGCTGTGGCTCAGGAACCGCACCCCCTCCCTCGGGTTCCCATGGAATGGAAGCCAAATCCCTTCACAGGGCAGTCCAGGCCAAGAGCGCCACCCACCTCCCTGTGGTGCACCCCTGGGTGTCTCATCCATCACTGCGACCTTTCCAGCTTGCTGCAGGCTCCAACTGCTTTTTATTTGTAAGCAGAGAATATTGACAAGCTATAAAAGCAGCACCAGTTACAGCAGAACATTCGGGGGCCTGTCACTCACGTCTTCCACCTCGGAGGCCCTTCTTTTCTTTCTTTCCTTTTTTTTTTTTTTTGACAGGCAGAGTGGACAGTGAGAGAGAGAGACAGAGAGAAAGGTCTTCCTTTGCCGTTGGTTCACCCTCCAATGGCCGCCGCGGCCAGCGCACCACGCTGATCCGAAGGCAGGAGCCAGGTACTTCTCCTGGTCTCCCATGGGGTGCAGGGCCCAAGCACTTGGGCCATCCTCCACTGCACTCCCTGGCCACAGCAGAGAGCTGGCCTGGAAGCTGTCCTGGCAACCGGGACAGAATCCGGCGCCCCGACCGGGACTAGAACCCGGTGTGCCGGCGCCGCAAGGCGGAGGATTAGCCTAGTGAGCCGCGGCGCCAGCCTCGGAGGCCATTCCTGCTCCTCTTCCTGCCCAAGTCCTGCCTCTCCTTGTAGCTCAGCTGAAACCCCGTTGCCTCCCTTCCTTCTCCATGCTCCTCTGATGTGTTCTGGACTTCAGAACTCCTGTGGGATTTCTGATGGAAATGATGGCTGTCTTTCCATGATGTCAGAGGGATAGTCCTGGACCCACCTTGCTCACCCTGGCTCCAGCACAGATCCTGGCACATGGTGGGTGCTTGGTTTGCTGAATGATTCCTTTTGGAGCTTGTACCATGGGCGCAGATATGATGATGCTCAGCTGGGAAACAAATGCTGATCTGCTTGGATGCTCCTGCTCCTCCCCAGCTGTGTGTGTGTGTGTGTGTGTGTGTGTGTGTGTCTGAACATGAGCTAGCACTGACCCTGTTCAGTGCATGAGCAGTCTATGTGTAAAGAGCATGGACCAGTTCCACTTGGGAAATAAGAGCTATTGGACCGGAGACTTTGGCCTTGCATGCCTCTCCCAAGTTTTGTCTTCTATCTTGGACATGACCTTCATCAACCCCATCTTGTATGTGACCTCTTCCCTTTTTTCTTCTATCATCAGCCTGTCTTTCCAGCACCATTCCGGATGCATACGTTTCCATGCCAGTGGAAATGACAGAGGGGCCAATGATTCTGGACCATGCATGGGTTGGGTGCAGAGGATAGAGAGGTGAGAAGGGTAGGCTCCTTCCCACCAGAAGCTCACATCTGAAAGGGAGACAGGCCAGGGAGACACTGACAACACTTTGCTGATGCTCCAATAGCAAGAGGAGCAGACTGGCTATTGCAGCACCACAGAGAGGGGCTGTCTTCCTCATCCTTTAAGAGTCATCTCACAATGGGGCCAGCGCCGTGGCTCACTTGGTTAATCCTCTGCCTGCAGCGCTGGCATCCCATATGGGCACCGGTTCCAGTCCCGGCTGCTCCTCTTCCAGTCCAGCCCTCTGCTGTGGCCCGGGAAGGCAGTGGAGGATGGCCCAAGTGCTTGGGCCCTGCACCCGCATGGGAGACCAAGAAGAAGCACCTGGCTCCTAGCTTCGGATCAGCGCAGTGCTGGCCATGGCGGCCATTTGGGGAGTGAACCAACAGAAGGAAGACCTTTCTCTCTGTCTCTCTCTCTCACTGTCTATAACTCTACCTGTCAAATAAATTAAAAAAAAAAGAGTCAGCTCACAGATCCCTACTCACTGTGAACCCTTCCAGGAGTCCTCCAAGAGCAGTAGTGGGAAGGAACGTTAGGCAGAGCGAGCAGCACATGGCAAGTCATGGAGCCTGGGAGAACCTGATGGGCCAGGCTCTGGGCAGTAGCCCACGTGGCTGATGCGTGTGTTTGGAGCTAGAGTGTGTGCGTGCAGGGGGAGGGAGTTACAGGAGATGAGGCTTGAAGGCAGGTGGGCTCATATCGTGAAGCAGCTTAAATACCATCCTGAGAACCTGGGATGTGATCCCCGCTCCATGAAGCCTGGGAGCCACTGCAGAGCTTCCCATAGATTTGCATTGTGGAAAAGACTCCTGTGGCATCGGCATGGAGGACTGGGCCAGCAGGTGCTCCCTGGGAGACACGTTCAGGAGCTGGAGTCAGGGCGGGTGAGAAGGGATTGCTTGTGAGGTGTTCAGGTGCAAGACACAGAAGACCTAATGTGCCTTTTACCTGTAGGCTGCATTTTCTCAATGTAACAGTACATCTGACGACGGGTGTTGTGGGCAGTGGGTCAGCTGTTGTATACCATCAGAGCCCACATTGAGAATGGTCTTTTGGTCTTTTGTCAAAACAAAATTGCTGCTAGGGCTCCATTCATCCCGTTTACCTCCCCGGAAACGAGAAGAGCAAGGTGATGCTAGGGTCGCGAGAGTCAAGTGAGTGCTTAGAATCACCCCAGCTGAGCCCTGCTTGGGCCTTGCTGGTCAGGCCTGGGTCACACGGCCTCCGGGCTGCAGGGGACACAGGGGAGTGAAGGGACATGGTGGGCTCAGACCAGTTGTAGTCCACTTCCTGGGGCTGGGGCACATTTCTACCCAAAAGCAACTCTGGCCTCTGCTGCCTGGGAGGAAGTGGGACAGGCGTGTCACTGCGGGGGCTGGGTCTCAGAAGGGCCCCTGCCAGTGCTGGCCACCTGCAGCCAGAGCACAGGGTCAACAACGACCCCAGACATGGGCCCCGCGGCCGGGAGGGGGCATTCAGCAGCCTGGAGGGGGCACTGCAGGGGTGACTTCCATCCCGGGTAACCCAGGGCATCACTCCTCATCTTACGATTCAGATATCACTTATTTTGAGACCAAGATTTCTCGAAATTTGAATGGATTTGTTAAAAACAAATCGGACCCCAAGAACTAAAACAATCCCTGGGTGCTTGTGGTTGTCTCTGGCTCCGAGCTTCTGCCCGGTTAGTTCAGGCTGGTGATGGCTTAGAGGTCCCCTGGGTCCATTTCCTTTCAAGGAGAAGAGGAGGTACAGTTTGACCCCGGGTACCTCTCTTGGGCTAAGTTTTATTCTAGTGATCCAACATCAGGCTTCAGGCCCCTCTGAGCATCAGCAGGAGGGGGTGAGTAGAGGGAGCACTTCAGGGTCATTCGCTGGCCTTCAGCCAACCTAAGCCACCCAGGGGGAGATGGTGCACCACGGGAAGCAGCAGCCGTACTCCACGCCTGCCTTCCCAGTCATCGGCTCTATGGGTGTGAGGTCAGACCGCAGTGGTTTAGGCTGAGACTGGGGGCCGGGTCTCGGGGTCAGGTTCCAAAAGATGAACAGGGGCCGGCGCCGCGGCTCACTAGGCTAATCCTCCACCTTGCGGCGCCGGCACACTGGGTTCTAGTCCCAGTCGGGGCGCCGGATTCTGTCCCGGTTGCCCCTCTTCCATGCCAGCTCTCTGCTGTGGCCAGGGAGTGCAGTGGAGGATGGCCCAAGTGCTTGGGCCCTGCACCCCATGGGAGACCAGGAGGGGCACCTGGCTCCTGGCTTCGGATCAGCCTGATGCACCGGCCGCAGCGCACCGGCCGCAGCAGCCATTGGAGGGTGAACCAACGGCAAAAGGAAGACCTTTCTCTCTGTCTCTCTCTCACTGTCCACTCTGCCTGTCAACAACAACAACAACAACAAAAAAGTTGAACAGGGTGATGCAAATTCGTCTCCATCTGTGAACATCCGTCTAGCCAGTGTTTGGGAGGTGGTGAGCAGGAGTACCTCCCTGGCCGATGTAAAGTGATTGCCTCAGGCTTGTAGCGTTGTGCAGCCCTTGGAGAGCTCCTGGCCTGCTGTGCCACGGACTCCTCAGTGTCCAACAGGTGCCCTGGGAGCTGCTCTCCTCCGGAGACTTCAGTGACCAGAAGCTGCAACTCCGCCGTCACGCCTTGTCTCCCAGGCCCTGCCATGCTGCTGTGCTGGGCCGGCTCCCGATTGCCTGTGTCCGCATCTCTGCCTGACAGCTCTTGGCTCCTGTTTGAGAAGCGAGGAGAAGTGTTAGACAACTAATGACAACCTCCCCACCTCTGCAAAGAGCAGCCCTCAACCCCTGGGTGGCAGGCAGCTGTGTATAAATGCCCCAGCTCCCTCCCTCCTTGGGGAGGGGGCACACATCCTCCCAGTGCTCACAGAGCCTGCCTGCTGCTCTCTTTATCCACGGCTTCAGTCTCTTCCTCGTCTGTCTCATCTCTACTGGAGTTTCTGGGGCATGCCTCCTTGCATGCAAATCCTTATCTCGTAGCCTCTTTCGGAGGGTGGGGGAATCACAGCCCAGATAGCTGCTCTTGGGGATTCCTGTAACACAGGAAAGTATTAAAGGCTTTGGGGAGCCTTGTCGTGAGGCTGTCTCGGTCAGCTTGGGCTGCTGTAACAGAAGCCCCTAGACCAACTGGCTTATACACAGGCATTCATTTCTCATAGTTCTGGCGGCTGGGAGGGCCGAGCCCAGGACGCCAGCACGGGCAGGCAGGTCTGGTGAGGGCCCTCTTCCTGGCTCCCAGGTGGCTGTCTCGTTGCTGAGCCTGCACCTGGCAGAGAGCAGAGGCAGGAGGCGGCGTCTCTCCTGCCCCTTGTTACAAGGGCTTACCTTCTGCTGCCTACCATCTACCCCTCTCCGAATACGATGATGTTAGGGATCAGGCGTTCAATGTCTGCATCTTGGGGGACACCAACATTCAGCCCATAGGAAGGGGAGACTTGACAGTGCTTCCCAAACCTGTGATGATAACAGAGAATTCCTTTCTGACCAAACACATAGTAGCCGCCCGAGGAACATCAGTGAGTGGTGCATGCGGTGGGAAATCGGGGTCCAACCCTCTCTCGTGGGTTGTAGCGGATGCTCCGAGGCCCAGGGAGGAAGCGAGCAGCTGAGCCCATTCTTGGCCGGGTGGGGATTGCGGCTCGCAGCCAATGCACTCCTGGTAAAGCTGGGATTTCCAGCCAGCCTGCTCCTCCCCCTCCTCGTCTGTGATGTGCAGAAAATGACATTTGCTCCATAAGAGCAGCTGCAACATGTAGGAGAAGCCTGCGTGGGCTCAAGAGTGCTGTACAAGCAGGAGGGATGGCGTCTTCTGCCGTGGAGGTGACAAGGGCGCCGGCCGCCGAGGCCAGGGCGCTCGCTGTCTTGTGGGTCTGAGCTCTTCCTGGAGGGGAGGTGTGGCTGCATTTTTCCCAATCCCCCCGAGCTTCCCTGAACACATTCCTCCTCTGCACTCCACCCCCCCAATCAGACTCGCTGTTGATCTGAAATATTAGCTGAGAGGGGAGTTGGAAAATGGCTCGCGGAGGGCCAGCATCCATCTCAGAATGTACTTATCTCATTTTCATAGTCACCGGAGACAGCCGGGGAAGATAACCAGATGTTCAAGCATCTCTTTGTAGCGCTCGCTCACTTCTCGCTCGCTCGATCTTTTTTGTAAATTCAATTTAAAGGGCCCGTTTCTTAGCAACAGAGGCAGTCAGTGGTTGCCGCGTCCTCCTCGGCCATTTCCGTGCCCAGGTTTTTCGGAAGTGGATGAACCTCTGAGTATTGGCTAGGGGTTGGGACGGAGAGCAGAGGCACAGCGGAAGCCGGCCATCTGGTGCTGTGCTTGGGGGAAGGGCTCCCAGAGGACCCTGGAGAAAGGCAGGAAGGCAGGTGGTATCACCCTCAGTGCCCAGGCGCACGTGGCGTGTGCTGTCGGATGGGGGCTGGGAGCAGCTGCCTCCGCTCTGTCCTGCAGAAGCTGTCACCTTGGGTGGTTTTGGGAAAAGACTCCCAGGTGGAGTCTCGGGAAACTCAGGTCTGGCTGCAGCCATGGTGCCTGGTTGCCTTTGACAGGCCATTGAACTTGCTGGAAGCTCAGCTTCTGCACCTCACCTTGCCAAGGTCAGGACCAAGAGAGATCAGTGCACGTGGAGGTTCAGCCACAATGGCAGCGTCAGCGGTTAGGAGTCTTTCTCTGGCACACCCTGGGAGCTCGAGGCTCATCTGTCCCCACACCTTATTCCTGGAGCAGGTCCCGGTTTGTGGACAAAAATGATGGGAGTGATGTGAGGAAGAAAAGGGGGTCTTAGGCCGGCGCCACGGCTCAATAGGCTAATCTTCTGCCTGCAGCACCGGCACAACAGGTTCTAGTCCCGGTCGGGGCGCCAGATTCTGTCCCAGTTGCCAGGCCAGCTTCCAGGCCAGCTCTCTGCTGTGGCCAGGGAGTACAGACGAGGATGGCCCAAGTCCTTGGGCCCTGCACCCCATGGGAGACCAGGAGAAGCACCTGGCTCCTGCCTTCAGATCAGCGCAGTGTGCCGGCCGCGGCGGCCATTGAAGGGTGAACCAACGGCAAAAGGAAGACCTTTCTCTCATCTCTCTCTCTCAGTGTCCACTCAGCCTGTCAAAAAAAAAAAAAAAGGGGGGGGGGCGTCTTAGCAACGGAGGCACTTTGGTGCTAAAGAATGGGAGAATGTTGGGAGTGTAGGACCCTGAAGACCTTTTATTCTAATATCCCCTGGTGCTGAATCCTAGGCCACGGAGATGGAAAACCGATGCCCCGCTGGTCAGCCGGGGCCCTCTCTGTTTTGTGGTTTGCTGAGTTCATTGCTCGCGGGTGCCTACTAGAGGACTTCCTGTAAACGTCATGCTTTCTGGCTCCTTCGGATAAGCAGAGGGAACGACTTGCACAGGGCTGTTCCAGAGCTGAAAGAGGCTCCAGCCCGACGGGGCAGGCACCCTGCTTCGTCATAGTCCCCACCACTCCCAGCTGCCTTCTAACTGACGCCAAACACAGTTCTCTGTACGCCTGTGATGTGGCAGCGAGCCACCCTTCCTGTGTGTTCAGGGCCCAAGACCCTTGACAATAAGGTAACTTGTCCTCTGAAAGTCAGAGTAACAGAGAGGGAGAGGCAGAGGAGGAGAGAGATCTTCCATCTGTTGGTTTACTCCCTAAATGGCTATAATGATCTGGGCTGGGCCAGGCTGAAGCCAGGAGCTTCATCAGGCTCTCCCACATGGGTTCAGGGGCCCAGGGACTTGGGGGCATCTACTGCTGCTTTTCCAGGCACATTAGCAGGGAGCTGGATTGGAAGTGGAGCAGCCGGGACTCGAACCTGTACCTACACGGGATGTTGGTACTGCAAGGGGTGACTTTACCCCTGCGTCGTCACAGTGCAGGCCCTGCCTGCTGACCTAGGAACCCCAGAAGCAGTAGCAGTAGCCAGATCAACCTTGGTGAGAAGTCCAACTCTTGAGTTCCCCGCCATCTTCGTTACCCTGTTTATAGGCAATTTTTTCCTGTTGGTGCTCATGTTTCTGTTTCATATGTAGGCCTCCTTGCCTAATTCCAAGGGATGAAGATTTACTGCTACGTTTTAAGATATTTAAAGGTTTTAGTCTTTATAATTAAGTTGTTGCTCCACTGGAGTTATTTTTTGCATATTGTGTGAGGTAGGGATCCAAGTTCATTCTTTTGCATGTACATGAAAGTAATTTAAAAATCTGTGGAAACAGGGACTTAGAAGATAAGTGTATGGGGCCGGGGCTGTGGGGCAGCAGTTTACAGCCGCCGCCTGCAGTGCGGGGACCCCACGTGGGCACTGGTTTGAGTCCCAGCTGCTCCACTTCCAATCCAGCTCCCTGCTAATGTCTTGGAAGGGCAGCAGAGGATGGCCCAAGTTCTTGGGCCCCTGCACCCATGCGGGAAACCTGGAAGAAGCTCCAGGCTCCTGGCTTTGGCCTGGCCCAGCCCTGGTCATTGCAGCCATTCAGGGAGTGAACCAGTGGATGGATGATCTCTCTCTCTCTGTGTCTCCTTCCTTCTCTGTAGCTCTGCCATTCAAATACATAAATAAACCTTTATATAAAAAATATAAGTTTATTTTGGTGCAAAAAATTTATGAAATCCATGCATTATCTTTTCATAATATGTATTATCCATTAACTTTCTGAAGACCGTATATGTGCACTGATTTCATTTTTCACCGAAATAAATTTATCTTTTAATTCTATTTTCCATAAGCTTTTTGAAGCACTCTCATTTATCCATTTGTCCCAGCAATAATTTTTTTTAAGATTTACTTTATTTATTTGAAAGACAGAGTTACAGAGAGAGATAGAGACAGAGAGATGTCTTCCGTCCACTGGTTCACTCCCCAGATGGCTGCAACGGCTGGAGCTGTGCTGATCCAAAGCCAGGAGCTTCCTCCGGGTCCCCCATGCAGGTGCAGGGGCCCAAGGACTTGGGCCATCTTCTACTGCTTTCCCAGGCCATAGCAGAGAGCTGGATGGGAAGTGGAGCAGCCAGGACTAGAACCGGCACGCATACGGGATGCCGGCGCTTCAGGCCAGGGCATTAACCCGCTGCGCCACAGCACCGGCCCCCAACAACACTTGTTGAAGTGACTGTTCTTGCCCCATTGAATGGTCTTGGAGTCTTGTGGAGATCATTTGGTGATGGATACGTGAGTTTATTTTTGAACTCAGAGCCTGAAGCTCTGCAGCTCTCACCCTCGTGTGCTGTGTCTGCTCTCAGCTCTGTCGGCTGTGCGATGGCAGGAGACGAGAGTCTCCCTAACGCCGCCGAAGCCGCTCGCTGCCTCTCACAGTCGCTTCAGATTGGTGATTGATTGTCCAGAGCGCGTCATTTTCTCTCTTCACAGCACCAAGTGTGCAGCAGCTACCCGATCTGAGAGTCCTCACGCTTCCTCTCTGCCCTGAGCCTCCCCAGCTCCCTGCAGGGTCTGCGTCTCCCCTCCCAGCCCCACAGGCGGGGGCTTAGCAATCGCACCGCTGCTGCACACTCTGCTCTGCACGGCTCGGGTCCCCACCTGCCTCCAGGCTCATGCATGGTCCTCCCGGATCCCAGCCTCAGACCTGCCACTTGGGACATCCTGGTCCTGACGGCCGGCCGTAGGCTGGGTTCCCCGAACCCAAGAGAGTTCCTGTGGTTGTTGAGGGAGTGCCCTTCTGGCCGAGCCTATCGGGGAGGGAGTACATTAGAACAGCAAAGTGGAGGGAGCTGAGCAAGATAAAGTCTAGGCTTGGCGTGGTCCCCGGTGGTGGAGCCTGGGAATAAACCACACTCAGAAGTCATTGGCTTCTGAAGCCAGCGGCTAGCCTCATGCACCTCTGTGGCCATCAGCTGTGGCGTTTGAGTGTCCCTAGGATGGAGTGTGACCTCCCTTTCAGGGTATCTCTAGTCAACCTTGGAGAGGGGGTGGCTGGGGGGTTGTTAGCAGCCATGGGCAGAGCAGCTGGGGGCGAACAAGGAGCCCTGGCATCTCCTGCAGGGTTGGCACACAGACAGAGGCATCCAGGTGAGGGCCGTCCTTGGACCAGGGTGGTGAGGAGAGCAGCAGCTGAGAAATGGTTGGGTTTACATATTTTTTTAAAAGCAGGTTTATTGAAGTCTGACTCATAGCACGCTGCACACAGAATGTCCAGTTCGCTGTTTTCACATGTGTGTACATCCATGAAGACATCACAGTCCTCAAGATAGTAGCGATTTCCCTTGTGTCCCCTTGTCCCCCTCCCTCCTGCTCAATCTCACTACATCTCACCCCTTCCACCCTCTCCAGGCGCCAGGCAACCTCTGGTCTTTAGCTGTGTGCAGGTGGCTGTGTGTTCTAGAATGTTCTATAGACGCAATGGGACAAGACGCATTCTCTCTTTTACTCAGCGTAACCCCTTTTGTGAGTCCTTCATGGGCTTGCCTGTGTCGGTGGCTCACGCTTTCCCATTACTGAGCGGAGGATTCCATTGCTGGTATCTCTCTCGCCTGTTCCCAGCACTTGGGCTCTTTCCAGTGTTTGGCAATGACAAGTAAATCTGCTGTGAAGGTTTGTGAGCAAGTCCTTGTGTGAACATGGGCTTTCTCATGCTTTTTTATTTTTTAAAGATGTATTTATTTACTTGAAAGGCAGAGTTACAGAGAGACAAAGGCAGAGATAAAGAGAGAGAGAGAGAGGGCTTCCATCTGCTGGTTCACTCCCCAAATGGCTGCAATGGCTGAAGCTGGGCCATTCTGAAGCCAGGAGCCAGGAGCTTCCTCTGGGTCTCCCATGCAGGTGCAGGGGCCCAAGGTCTTGGGCCATCTTCTACTGTTTTCCCAGGCCATAGCAGAGAGCTGGATCAGAAGTGGAGCAGCTGAGACTTCAACCAGCGCCCATATGGAATGCCAGCACTGCAGGCGGCAGCTTTACCCACTACGCCACAATGCTGGCCCCTTTCTCATGGTTTTTTTTTTTTTTTTTTTCAAGATTAAATTTATTTATTTGAAAAGCAGGGTGACAGGGGAGAGAGGAGAGAGAGAAAGATCTTCCATCTGTTTATTTACTCCCCAATTGGCCATAACACATGCAGCTGGGCCAGGCTGAAGCCAGGAGTCCAGAGCTCCATATGAGTCTCCCACCTGGGACCATCATTGCTGCTTTACACATTAGTGGAGAATTGAATAGAAGCAGAAGAGCTAGAATTTGAAATGGCACTCTAATATGGGATACCAGCTTGGCAGGTGGTGTCTTAACCTGCTGCCTGCAATGCCTGCTTTTTTTTTTTTTACAGGCAGAGTTAGACAGTGAGAGAGAGAGAGACAGAGAGAAAGGTCTTCCTTCTGTTGGTTCACCCACCAAATGGCCACTATGGCCTGTGCGCTGGGCTGATCCGAAGCCAGGAGCCAGGTGCTTCTCCTGGTCTCCCATGGGGTGCAGGGCCCAAGGACTTGGGCCATCCTCCACTGCCTTCCCAGGCCACAGCAGAGAGCTAGACTGGAAGAGGAGCAACTGGGACAGAATCCGGTGCCCCAACTGGGACTAGAACTTGGTGTGCCGGCGCCGCAGGCGGAGGATTAGCCTAGTGAGCCGTGGCGCCAGCAATGCCTGCCCTTCTTTTCTCTTGTTTTAAAAATGTATTTGGGGTTGGCCGGCGCCGTGGCTCAACAGGCTAATCCTCCACTTAGCGGCGCCAGCACACCGGGTTCTAGTCCCGGTCGGGGCACCGGATTCTGTCCTGGTTGCCCCTCTTCCAGGCCAGCTCTCTGCTATGGCCCAGGAGTGCAGTGGAGGATGGCCCAAGTGCTTGGGCCCTGCACCCCATGGGAGACCAGGAGAAGCACCTGGCTCCTGCCTTCGAATCAGCGCGGTGCGCCGGCTGCAGCACGCCGGCCGCGGTGGCCATTGGAGGGTGAACCAATGGCAAAGGAAGACCTTTCTCTTTGTCTTTCTCTCTCTCACTGTCCACTCTGCCTGTCAAAAAAAAAAAAAAAGTATTTGGGGGCCGGCGCTGTGGCGTAGCAGGTAAAGCTGTTTGCAGAGCTGGCATCCCATATGATTGCTGGTTGGATCGGCGCAGCTCCGGTCGTTGAGGTAAATTGGGGAGTGAACCAGTAGATGGAAGACC